TATTAATTTAAATAATTTAATTTAATTTAAAGAATATTGTTTAATATAAAATAATTTAATTTAATTTAAATAATATTATTTAATTTATAAAATATTAAATTAAATAATTTTATTTAATTAAAATAATTTTACTTAATTTAAAATAATATTATTAATTAATAAAATATTAATTTAAATAATTTTTTAATTTAAAAAATATTGTTTAATATAAAATAATTTAAATTAATTTAAAATAATATTATTTAACTTATAAAATATTAATTTAAATAATTTTATTTAATCTAAAATACTTTTATTTAATTTAAAATAATATTATTTAATCTATAAAATATTAAATTAAATAATTTATTTAATTTTAAAAATATTTTTTAATATTAAATAATTTAATTTAATTTAAAATAATATTATTTAATTTATAAAATATTAATTTAAATAGTTTTATACAATTTAAAATAATTTTATTTAATCTAAAATAACTTTATTTAATCTAAAATAATATTATTTAACCTATAAAATATTAACTTAAATAATTTTATTTAATTTAATTTTTTTTAATATAAATATTTTATTTAATTTTAAATAATATTATTTAATTTATAAAAATATAAATTTAATTAATTAAATCAGTAATTTTATTATTTATCATAGACTTTTATCCACTTTGGTAAACATGGGACAATTTGTATCCAAAATCTGATGTGGCAAATTGGAGGGATTAATTTGTCAAATCCCATCATCTTTAGTAAACGAGGTCCAATGGAACACAAGAATTTGACAGATGTGATCACAAATATAAAATTGAAAATACTATAATGATCCACCAGAATTCGACTATTAGACTCGAGAGATATGCGTTTATATGTAGATATGTATATGATAAATTACACAAAATTTTATGCGGAATAGTCTAGTGATTAGATAAATCAATTCGTCATACTTTGATAAACCTCATACTAATTTTATTTATTTGTTTAACTTTTAATCTTATCCACCAATCAACCACCTAATTTTGCCTAATTTTATGATATATAACAGATGTATTAGGATTGCCATTTTTTTTTCCTCTAATTTGTTTAACAATGTATCACACCCATGTAATGTTTTCTAAATTTGGTTGTAACGTAATTGTTGCATAGTGACGAGATAATGTTTAAACCATTAAGTTTGAATGATTACAACTTTTTTTTTAAAAAAAAAAATTGTATGTTGATTACTCACATATCAAAGAAGTAGTAATTATATAGACACAATCCAAAATATTTTTTCTTTAAAAAAAAAACAACATTTAGGATACAGTTTCTTGCACTAGCTCCTTCAAATTATTCCTGCAAAATTGTAAATTATTAGTTGAATTTACTTGAAGAAAAAAAGATTTACATATTTTTAAAGAATAATAATACTAAAAAATGATGATTATATAAACACACACACACACACACACATATATATAATAAATTGTTGATATTTATACTCGTAGCTGTCATGCTCAATTAATCCATATACATCAACCCATATATGCGAGTTGACTGATTTTTAATAATAAACAAAATAATTTTTTTTTTTTTTTGTAAATTTAATGGTTATATAATGAAATCTAAAATTATATATCTGTATGATCATCTAAAAAATAAGATAAAGTAACGTAGATATCTAATTTTAATAAAGTTAATACCTAAACATCTGCCCATTATGGCGCGATTATGTTGTTTTGAGAGTGACTCGGAATATGAGGCTCCGAAGCCTTAGTGGGGCAATGAGTACGATGAGTTGAGGCGCTTCTTGGAGTGGCTTGCAAGCATTGGCGATAATACAGTTGGTGGATCAAACGACGGTTGTGTTGATGTCGACATTCTCGACGATATTCTTCTAAAATCACAGGGGATCTTATTGCTACTATTGTTGAGAGTACTTACTCGATGTTCAGGAGTTCAGACACGATCTTAGCTACCTAAAGGACAGGCCATCATCGCTCCCACGGTTGATGTTGTTAAGTCCGTTGACGAGTACATGAGCTATTTGAACTCATCCCAGAAAGGACTTATTTGAGTTCGGATACCCCTTGCAAGTCAGACGCTGATATGGCTCCCTTCAAGATCTTTTTACTCCTGAATTTCTCACTGGGAAAGTGCTTGGGACTTTCGAATCATAAATTGCAATTGAAGGTCGACATTCCAATGATGTTGCACCGAAACATTGATCATTCCATAGGGTTGTGCAACGGTACACGCTTGGTTATTACTAAGCTCAGCAACCATGTCCTCGAATGCATAATTTTAACCGATGCAAGAGATGACGATAAGGTTCTTAATCCTAGACTTACAATTATACCATCTGATATGAGGATACCGTTCAAGTTTCAATGCAGGTAGTTTCCTCTCATGGGTTCATATGCTATGACAATCAATAAGAGTCAAGGCCAATCTCTGTTGCACGCCAGCTTACTATTGAAGAGCCATGTATTCAGTCATGAGCAGTTGTACGTAGTTCTTTCCAGAGTCACGAGTCAGAGAGGTTTGAAGATAGTGATTTGTGGTGATGATGATTATGACGATAGAAAACCACGAGTATTGTATATAAATTTTTTTAACAATAATTAGATTCACTTTCTGAAATCATTTTATTTTTCTCATTGATTAAGTTGTAATTTTTATTTTTGTCTATATTTTTTATTACTTTCTCCTCTATTATATCGCTTTTTATGCAAACACAAGAGTTAAAACTTAAAGCTAGTACTTCCTCATGTTCATAATATGTGTCGTTTTGAGAAGTTGTACAATAATTAAGATTTTTTTTGTCAATAATAACCATCTTTAATGAAAATTAATAATATAAAAATTAGGAGTAGATATGAAAAGAAATAATGTATTTATTAGCAAAATGAAAGTACTAATAAAAAAATATGTACAAAATATCTAAAACTTCATTTATTTAGTTAATAGTTAATAAATTAAAATAAATTTAAAAAGAATAAGAGAAAGTATTATCTAAGCACACTTGGTTATATTATTAAATCACAAGTAGTGAAGACTGACATACACGCTTCGAGGGGCATTTTCGTAGCTACTGGGTAAAAGAAAGGCACCTTATAGGCTATAGCTTTTCAACTAAAAGTTGTCCATTATATAACACAAATTATAGTCGGATAAAGAACAGTCATATTCTTCTTCTCATCTCTACCGACTACCGTACAATCTCTCATATCTGAACAACAAAAGCTGCTCTTTTTTATCAGAGGTAGGCTATGCAGATATACCTGTTATTTACAGAAAAAAACTTATCTCTTTTCTTTGTTTTTTATTTATCTAAATTTTTGTTTAATTCTTGCCTTTGGACGGTAGATTTGTGGCTGATGTACTATCTCTGAGTAATTGGTGAATTATGCAGTGGCCCTTGTAGATTATGGTATGTGTGTATTTTTTTCTTCTGTTACAACTTAATTTTTCGTTTGTCGTGTGATTCTTGAAGTGAAAACCTGCTTCTAGGTTTTTGATTGTTTTGTTTCATTTGCCGAAAATCGAAACTGTTTCATGTTCTGCTCCTAGGATTTTATTCTCGTTCTAAAACGAAATTTACCAATTGGGGCTCCTTTAAAGTTTTGATTTTGTTCTGGTATTTGTTATGCCTCTTCAATTAATGTATTTTCCTCATTAATTGTCGACGAACTATCGTTTTGACTTTTCCAGTGGGATACAGTGTCACTAAAGATTCAGTTTCTGACCATTCCTTTTGGTATATGTTCTGATTGTTAATAAAGAAATTATGGCTGGTTGAATGATTTTCAGACTTTTTGTGGGGTGATGTCCTTTGATTAATCCTTGATTGACTTGTTTACTGTCAAATGTTGAACAAATCCACTGAATGATCATTTTCTATATGATTTTCTTTTTTCTTAGGATTTTTGTTAGGATTTTAAAACTTTTAGTATGATAACATCTACAACATGAATGGGTAAAAGATGTTTGAGTCCTCTGTTTTTTATGTAATAGGACAATAACAAGCATAATTATAAACCATCTGCAGCTGATAGCTTCAGGAATCAGGAAGCAATATATTTCATTTTCTCCAATTCTGTACTCGTTGAATTCGTCTTGTAACTTGTTCTGGTATCCTTTACTTTTCTATTTTGCGTAGTGCTATAAACGTCATTTTTCGTTTCTGCATGCGGTCAATGATTTTGATCATTTTGTACCACGTCTTGGTTTTACCATTTTGTTCAAAATTTCAATTTCACTGTCAAATTTTGCCCCTTCAGTTGTTGGGTTTTAGTTTACATTTCTAATATATATTCTTGTATGAATAAAGTTGTGAAAAGGGGAAAGGTTCAGAAACCGTTTTTTCAGAACCTTCTGTGTCAGAGTTTGTTATGCATTTAAAATGTTGTCGATAACTTGAGATTAATTAGTTGTTCTGGAAATAACGCAGCTCTTTGAATTAATGATACAAGTAATAACTATGTAATAAGTAATATCAAAAGATGGGATCACTTTGCAAGCTCACAGTTGCATTATGGAATTTTGAAGCTTTTGCTTTAATAACTTCAGTTCATATGCTTTTTCTCTTTTATATCTACATTTTGCTTTAACTAACTATATATGTTAGTAGTCTATTTGCTACATTTATTCTTTCTGATTTGTCCCTTAATGATATATTTTTTTTTTGGTTGTTCCCACCATTGGCTTTAGTTATCTAAGCCCCTGTGGCTATGTTTGTGACAATCGCTCCATTTTGACCCTATAATTTCAAGTAGCTCCCATTTACCATCCGCAGAGTGTTTGCAGTGCTTGAAACATGTTTACATAACTTGGTCCAAAAGGCCAAAATCTTACTCCCTTGAAATGAAATGACCTTTTCGCACTTCCTCTTGGGCAGATTCTGTTGGCTTTGCATAATCCACTGAAGTCTAAAGCTCCTTGGAAGTGAATGACATATAGCTGCGCAAGGGNTAGAAGCTTTCCAATTCTCATTACTCCATTAAAGTCAACAAAGCGATCTTGACCAAGATGCGAGCTTCCCAAGAATCTGAAGCCTCTTCTTATTACGACAGTTTATACAGCCGACCCATGCAGCAGGCAAACCCGACCCTCCAAATTCCAAACAATGAACAGTTCTTCACTCTCGAGTCGACACCCGCACCCGATCACCCCAACTACAGCTCATCATCTTCAGGCCCAACAAGCGACTCATCAGCCCGAAGCCCATTCTCCTATACGGCCCACGAGTCCCCTCTAAGCAACTCCTCCTCAGGAGTCGAAGACGAGAACAAGCTCCTCCACGCACTCTGGGTCCTTCGTCACGAGCTGCTCGGCCCCGAATCCGAAACCGACGACAGCGGCTTCTACAATGGCATGACTTCATCTCCCTTCACGAGGTACAACAAAATCCTCGAGATGGCCCACCACATGGACCTCAAACAACTTCTCGTCTCGTGCGCGGAAATAGTCTCGGAGGTCGACGCCCTCCATTCCCCCGACCGCCAGGTGGCGGTCTCCGCCGCCGAAGCCTTAATGGACATAATCGAAAAAATGGTATCTGTCTCTGGCGACCCCTCCCAGCGACTCGGCGCGTACATGCTCGAAGGTCTCCGCGCGAGGCTTCTCTCCTCCGGAAGCAGTATCTACAAGAAACTCAAATGCAAAGAACCGACTAGCTCCCAACTCATGTCTTACATGCACGTGATTTACCAAATTTGCCCTTACTACAAATTCGCGTACACGTCAGCGAACGTCATCATAGCAGAAGCCATGAAAAACGAGAGTCGAATCCATATAATCGATTTCCAGATTGCTCAGGGCAGCCAGTGGGTTTCTTTTATTCAAACACTCGCTCGGCGGCCCGGCGGGCCGCCGAGCATCCGAATCACCGGAGTCGATGACTCTCAGTCGACACATGCTCGTGGAGGTGGGCTCGAGCTCGTCGGACTCCGGCTTCACCAGGTGGCGAAATCCTGCGGAGTCCCGTTCGAGTTTCACGGTGCCGCCATCTCTGGCTGCGAGGTCCGTCTCGAGAATCTTAAAATCCGGCCAGACGAGGAAGAAGCGCTGGCGGTGAACTTCCCTTACGTGCTTCACCACATGCCAGACGAGAGCGTGAGCACCGAAAACCACCGCGACCGACTGCTCCGACTAGTGAAGGGACTTTCGCCGAAAATCGTGACGCTACTCGAGCAGGAGTCGAACACGAACACCTCGACTTTTTTGCAGCGGTTCTGCGAGACGCTCGACTACTACACGGCGATGTTCGAGTCGATTGATGTGGCGAGGGCGCGGGATGATAGGATGAGGATGAGCGCGGAGGAGCACTGCGTGGCGAGGGATGTGGTTAATATCATTGCGTGCGAGGGGGCTGAGCGGGTGGAGAGGCACGAGGTTTTTGGGAAATGGAGGATGAGGTTTATGATGGCGGGTTTCGATCAGGTGCAGGTGAGCCCCACGGTGAGGGGCGTGGTTGGGGAGATGTTGAAGGAGTATAGTTCGAATTACGGGTTGGCGGAGGGGAATGGGGCGCTGTATCTCGGGTGGAAGAATCGGGCTCTGTCGACGTGTTCTGCGTGGAGATGAATGTTGTGATTGTTGTTTAATAAATGAGGAATTTGTAAAGTAAAGCTTCTGATGGTTACCCTCTTGAGTTAGTGTGTGATTTACATCTCGTAAGGTTTTTAAGTGCAACAGAGAGCAACTGGGGAGGGTGGTTTGTTCATTCTGTAGATGTATTGAAAATTGAAGGTCATCATGGAGTTTCTACCTGCTGTGTTGTGTCCTCATATTTTTAAGTATTTACTTTTGGGATTTGGGGTTTTTGACTTGTCATTGCTGTAAATTTCCGTGTATCTATTGTCGTTCACGCAGTTCACTCATTCTAGNATTTAATTTGTATATATTAAAACTTATAAATATGGGTAGATATTCGTTTGACATTTCAATGTTTAAAAAAATGTATTATTTATCACTTTTCTAGATTAGTGATCTTTCTAAACTTAATAAGATACGATTTATCAGTTTTACTATGGTACTATGGAATTAAAAGTGGTGTATTAAAACATGTCTTGTAACAAAAACATAAGAAAGTCTATTGGGATAGTGGTATTTTCATGTTTTAACTGTGCATGTTGGTCTTGTATTTTTGTTTTAAGTTTATTTTTTGTTGCCTATTTTTAAGTCGTCTGTTACTTGTAAAGGCGTGTTTTCTTCTTTTTATTTTGTTTTGAGTAGTTTTATTAATTCCGCTCTTAGGTGACGTGCCCACTCTGTCACGTACTTAAATTGAGCCTCGCTTGCATTTGTTCTGTAATTTTCATTTTGAAGAAATACAAGACAAGATTTCCCAAAATTATCTTTGAGCTCTCAGCTTTACATGGTATCACGAGCAAGTGATCAATGGCGCGCAATGGCGACGGAAAAGGATGACGAGATATAACGATCTCAAGATACACACGTGATTCAGATCCACTTCAACTTCACGGTTCAGATCATCCAGGAATGGTGTTGGTGAGCAATCCGCTCAATGGATCTAACTACCTTAACTGGAGTCGTGCAATGAAGTTAGCTCTCGGAGCAAAATCCAAACTAGGTTTCATCTACGATACGGTCATAATTCCAGATCTGAATTCAGAGGATTACGAGCAATACCAAAAGGTATAGTTCATGGTGATGTCATGGATATTGAACTCAATCTCGAAAGAAATTGTAGAAGCCTTCATGTGTGAAGAGTTCAAAGCAGCTGTGGGATGAGCTGGCCGAGAGGTATGGAGAGAGCAATAGACCTTGAAATATCAACTAAAGAAGGAGATTTCGAATTTTGCTCAAGGTAACCTCACTGTCACAACTTACTACACGAAGTTGAAATGCCTTTGGGATGAATATGCTTGTTTGGTGGCTCTGCCTGAGTGCAATTGCGGTGCTGAAAAGGCATATAGTGATAATGATTCGGAAAGCAAGGTTATGGAGTTTTTAATGGGGATAAATGATGTCTATGAACCAGTTAAGAACCAAATATTGTTGATGGAACCCTTACCTACCATAAACAAAGCTTATTCCATGATTTTGAAGGTTGAAAAACAAAAAACTGTTTACAACTCAAGCATAGAAGGCATGGACAGTTCAGTTATGTTGGTAAAAGGAGGATATGGAAGAGGAGGACCAAATGTGGGAAATTTTGGAAGAGGATCTGGTGGAATTGGAAACTTTGGGAGAGGTGCTGCTGGTAGAGGTTCATTTGGACAGAATTACAATAGTCTAGGAAGGGGCAGAGGTCAACCTAGGCTTTCCAAAGAGGAAAGACCAAAGCTATTCTGTGAGCACTGTGGCTACAATGGGCATGATGTTCAAGGATGCTGTAAACTAAATGGATATCCTGAGTGGTATAAAGATTTGAAGAATCAAAGGTCTGGCCAGCTTGCTAATATGGTAGATGATCAAAGCATGAGTAATAAGTCAAGTGAGACTGATGGGGAGAAACAACAGAATAGCAGTCCATTTGGTGATATTAGCTCACTATTACAAAAGGAAATTGCAAAGTACATGGCTGGTCAACAAAGGTGGAGATTCATCTTCTTATACACATCACACTGACTTTTCAGGTAACATCAACCACTTTGGATTTTCTTTGTTGGAAAACATAGAGGAGACTAGCTGGATTATAGATAGTGGAGCTAGTAGGCACATTTGCTGTAATTCTGATTTGGTGGAAAGCTACAGCAATATGCATATTCCTATTACAGTTTACTTGCCTAATGGGGCTAAAATCAAGGTGACAAGGGTTGGAAATGTGAAACTGAATGAAGAGATTATGCTGAAAAATGTGTTGATAGTGCCTGAATTTAAGTACAACTTACTGTCCATTGGTCAGCTCACAGAAGAAAAAAGGTTGATGTGTACCTTTGATGAACAGGGATGTTGGCTACAGGACCTTGAAAAGAAGAGATCATTGGCAAAGGGTGTGGTTCTTGGAGGTTTTTATATCATTAAAGGAAAGCATTGTATGATAAATCAAGTCAAGGAAACCAACACTGAAGTTCAAAAATTGGAATTATGGCACAAAAGGCTGGGGTATAGTTCCATATCTTGTTTGAAACATATTGATTTCCTAAAGGTGCTATGTAGTGGACAGAAAGTCAAACCTTGTGACACATGTCACAGAGCAAGGCAAAGCATACTACCTTTCCTCTCACACAACAAGGGCAGAGAACATGTTTGACCTAATACATATTGCTGTCTAGGGACCTTGCCATGATGAATCCATTACAAATGTTTCTTACATGTTGACAATAGTGGATGACAAAACAAGGGGAACTTGGATATTTCTCATGAAATATAAGTCAGAGACATACCTCAATTTGAAACATTTTCTTAAATTGATAAGGGTTCAGTTTGGAAAGCTTGTGAAGCAGATCAGAACTGACAATGGGACAGAATTTTTAGGAAATGAAGTGCAAAATCTATTCAAAGAAAAGGGGATCATACATCAAAGAACTTGCCCTTACACTCCTCAGCAGAATGGCATTGTTGAAAGAAGACATAGAACTATTCTTGAAATTGCAAGGTCTTTACTTTTTCAGTCACATTTGGATAAGAAATTTTGGCCTTATACCCTCCTCACTGCTGTGCATATCCTAAACTCTTTGCCAAGTGCTGTTTTGGGATGGAAAACACCATATGAGATGCTATATAGTAAGCAACCAGATTATGAGAAATTTAAAGTGTTTGGATGGTTGGTGTATGCTCACAGACATGATCCAAAGAGGAAGAAATTTGGTAATATGGCACAAGCCTGTGTTTACCTGGGGAATGTGGATGGAGTTAAAGGCCACAGACTGCATGACTTAAAGGAAGAGATTGTTTTTATCTCAAGGGATGTTACCTTTTATGAGCATGTCTTTCCATTTCATAAGGAAATTTTGAAAATATTTCACCAACAGTTTTGCCAAAATCCTTTGATGATACTGAGGAAGACAATGCACTTGACAACACATCAGAAACTTCTTACACCAATGAGGAAGACCTTTCAACTGGAAAGGTTAACCCTGCCACACAAGAAATTGAAGTGAAGAGAATAAGAAAACCACCAGCTTGGCTCCAAAACTATGTGACTCACACTAGTCATGATGAATCATTTCAGAAGCAACATGCATTATTCATGATAGAAGTTGAGAAGACAGAAAGTGAGCCTTTGTTCTATGGTCAGGCTGCAAAAAATCCTAAATGGGTTTCAGCTATGCAAAAAGAATAGGAGGCCTTGGAACTGAATCATACCTGGACACTCACCAAGCTACCACATGGCAAAAAGGCAATTGGATCAAAATGGGTTTATAAGATTAAAAGAAATCCAGATGGATCCATTGACAAATATAAAGCAAGGCTAGTAGTAAAGGGATACTTGCAAGTTGAAGGAGTTGATTTCAGAGAGAGCTACTCCTCTGTGGAAAAATTGGTGACTGTAAGACTCTTAATTGCCCTAGCTGTGCAAAATGGTTGGAACTTGCACCATATAGACATCAACAATGCATTCCTTCATGGCTTTCCTGAGGAAGAAGTCTACATGTTACCACCTCAAGGATATCAGAAAGCTAGGCAAGGGGAGGTCTGTCTTTTGCAAAGAAGTCTCTATGGATTAAAACAAGCCTCTAGGCAATGAAACTTGGAATTCTAAAACAAAAACTGATTGCATATGGATTTCAACAATCTACACACGATCATTGCTTATTTGTGAAACACTCTTCTTCAGGATTCTTGGCACTTATCATCTATGTGGATGATGTTCTCATCACTGGAACTTTTACTGATGATATACAGCATCTCAAGTCTTATTTGGACAAGCCTTTTACTATTAAGGACCTTGGCCTTGCAAAATATTTTCTTGGTCTGGAAATTGTTCAAGTTAATCAAGGTTTTCATCTCAGTCAGAGGAAGTACATTCTAGACTTGGTAAAGGATTTTGGACTGCAAGATTGCAAGGCCACTGTTACTCCATTTCCACAAGGTCTCAATCTCTCCACTCATCAAGACTCTCCTATGGTTGACCCTGAACCTTACAGAAGGCTGGTGGAAAGACTTTTGTACTTGAATTTATCTAGGCCTGATGCATCCTATGCTATCCAACAACTCAGTCAACACATTAAGGCACCCTTGGAAAGTCATTGGTTAGCAGCACTGCACTTGGTGAAATATTTGAAAGGCAGCTGCACACTTGGTTTTTATTATCCTAGAAAATCACACAGCTCACTTCAAGCCTTTTGTGATGCTGACTGGGGAACCTGTACCATTACAGGGAAATCCATCACTGGTTATTGCATTTTCTTGGGTGAGGCATTGATCTCTTGGAAGACTAAGAAGCAGAAGACAGTGTCTAAGTCTTCTGCGGAAGCTGAGTATAGGGCCATGGCTACAACAGTCTGTGAGTTGCAATGGATTGTTGGGGTAGCTGGAGATTTACACTTACAAGCCTCACTTCCCATTCCTTTGTGGTGTGACAACAAAGCAGCTTTACACATAACTGCCAACTCGGTCTTCCATGAGAGGACCAAGCATTTAGATATAGACTGCCATGTTGTGAGGAACAAATTCAAAGAGGGCTTCATCTTGCCACACCACATTTCCTCTTCTCTCCAACCTGCTGACACATTTACTAAGCCTCTTGAAGAATGGGGTTGGGTGTTGGGAGAGTGATATTTTCATGTTTTAACTGTGCATGTTGGTCTCGTATTTCTGTTTTAGGTTTATTTTCTGTTGCCTATTTTTAAGTCGCATGTTACTTGTAAAGGGGCGTTTTCTTTTTTTCATTTTGTTTTGATTAGTTTTATTAATTCCGCTCTTAGGTGATGTGACCACTCTGTATTGATCATTATGGCCTTAAGCTCACGTACTTAAACTGAGCTTCGCTTTCATTTGTTCTGTAATTTTCATTTTGAAGAAATACAAGAGAAAATTTCCCAAAATTATCTTTGAGCTCTCAGCTTTACAAAGCCACTAGTGGATTCGATTTAACTCCTCTTCTTCGCGTGTTTATTATGGGCGCACTGAAATAATTGTTAAGACAACTCTAGACAAATAAAATGTTCCAAACCGAAATAAATACACGACTACATATTTATAATAAGCGTAAATTAAAACTATTTTTCCTAAAGTGAATATTTATATATTATTATATACAACACTTGATGAGTCGGGTCGGACTTGGAGTTTCCCACGCCGACTCTATCCCCTTATATTTAATTATTTATGTCCCCATACCATATTTAAATAAAGTCTGTTACCATAACCAAAACATATACAAGGAAACTCCTAATTCTGTTCTTACTAGGCAAACATCACATCACATCGTTCTATTTCCTAATCCTACTCCAAATAACTTCCAAATTCATCAGGTAACATCAAAATATATGCCAACACAAACAACCTTAACTCGAAACCACATTGTAACAATTAAAATTGACCTGTAACTGTTCTTTTTCTTTTTGACTTTTCATGGAGAGTTCAGCTTCTATTGGGTATAACCCTGCTGAAGTTTTCGGTCCTTATTATGAAGACATTATTGTTAAACCTTTGCAAAACCTAGGATTGAGAGAGAACGATATCAAATCCGAGAACATTCAATGGTCTCTGCCTCCAAATTCCTCTGCTCGGACACAATGGTTATCTCCAAACTCTGTTTGTGATCGTAAAAGTATATGGGGTTATTGCTTTTTCACTCATGAAGGTAATATAATAATGTCTTGTGTTTATCTCGTTTATATATGTAGCAAATATAGAATTATAAAACAGTATTGATGATGTTTATTCTAATTTTTACGTATTATGTTTATTTTTGTAGAAGATAGCTTTGAAACAAGCAGCAACTCTGTTTGGAATACACAAAATCAGAATCACGAGCACGATCGTTTTGCGGGCCCACCTGCGCTCGGTTACCAATTCACGGGAATCGAGAACAATAATTGGAGTCGAGAATGGTCGGACTACGAATTCGACATATCGCGAATTCGAACCATTCTAAGAGGCGAACAATGTGAGGAGAAAGAGAATCTTATAAACTCTCTCCAAGAACTCGTTTTTACCCTAATAAACGACGAGAAGAAATTCCCCGTTTTCAAAATGCTCGTCGATGCATGCAACGACATTCACTTGGACTTACTAATGAACACTATCTTGCTCGGGAGTGAATTTTTCGTCGAGGCCGCATTCCTTGAACAAGGGTGATTAATTATTCGATTTTATAAGTTTCGATTTTTATAGTTTGAAATATAAAATATTCATTAACTTATGGTTTGGCTAGTTAATGAGTTGTTGTTTGTTATATTTCGACAGAGTCAAATCGATAGTCAAACTCATCAACAAGGTCAAGAAGTCGCGCCACGCCTTTATCTTGACTCGAATTCTTTCGACAAGATTCTTTGATTTGATGACCGATAATACGGCAAGGAAAGTGATCCAACAATGCTTCATGCTTTTCGGTCATGAACCTAATGAGGTACAAAATTCTATAATTATATCATAATGCAAATTTAATTTTCCTTAGTTGTTATTACAATGTTTGTCACATCATGTAAAATCTTTTAGATACTCTATGAGAGAACAATAGTTCATTGTCGAGAATTGGCCACGCACAAAATCGGGTGCAGATCGTTAAACGAATGCATCGACACCATCACAGGAAGACAAAGGTCAAAACTTCTCAATGATATTGCAGATGCCTCGGAATATCTATCGATCGATCCATACGGGTACTAATTAATTAGTACAAACTTTTAATTAACCGTATATAACTCGAACCTATTGTTGTGATTTTGTTTTAATTTATCTTTTTCTATAGGAATTATGTGGTGCAGAAAGTATTGGATCTGAAAAACACGGATGTGACCTCTAGAATATTGTGTGTGTTAAGAGGAAAGCATATTATATTAGCTCGAAACAAAGTCGGCTCAAATGTAGTTGAAAAATGCATGATGTGCTCGGAAGTTGGGTTGCTCGATGTTGTTAACGAACTGTTGAGGGATCCCCAAACACCCTTTCAACTAGCAAAAGATCATTTTGGAAACTATGTAATTCAGAATGTCTTGCGCGCGACAAAGGTAAACCGTATACTATTGTTATAATATTATGTATCGATGATTTTAGATATGATTTATTTCATCGATCTTATTAATTATTTATTTATTTATATATATATATATTCAGGAATGTGATTATTTGAGAGAAATGTACAAGTCATTGGTGAAATTGCTCAAGCCTTACAAGAAAGAACTCGAACGAACGGCGGGTGGAAGGAATGTGATGAATCTTATTGTAAAATAAGAGGAATCTTGCAGCACGGTCTGTAGGAAAATTGTCGAGAATCGAGATTTTTTCGCTTGTGAAAAGAGATTATATAAATTTAGTGTGTTGTGTTTGTGTGTAGCTGATCAAGAGCTTCTTACTGCAGCTTGATGTTTTGTGACTTGTTTTGTAGGCCTTAGAAGCTGTCTTGGATATTTCTAATTTGGCATGTTTTGGTATTTCAAATCATGGAAATATTTGCAGAAGGCCTCAGTTTGTTACCACTATTGTTGTTCATCAAGCTATAGCTTCTCCNACAAAACAAAACAAATGCATACCATAACTCTCTTAACATATACTAGCTTTATTACAAGATATGTTGTTACTTGTTAGTTTCTCATGAACCTTACAACTTTAATTGACAGTGACAAAAATTGTTAATTTCTAATCAAACAATAAGTAATAAAATAAAAGTTATTTAAGACAAAAAGTTAAAAATTGTTAATTTCTAATTCAAGCCTAGCCTTTCCATTCTGTACAATTGCTGATTATGTTGAGCAATACATGTATATATTAACTGTACATTGTGCTTATTGAGTGACTGTAGCAGAAAAATATGAAATGGAATAAATGATGCTTGTTTCATTAAAGAAAAATATTTGTTATATTATGACAATAGCCATAATTAATTGACGTTCGATATTGCACTCGAGTCTAATTATGTATCCATCCAAAGCATAAAATTGTGACAAATCGAATTTCAAAACATACGATTCTACTATCTCTACTTGGCATATTCTAAAATAAGGGTTAAACTTTTATTGTTTGTATGTGCTCCAAATCTTTACGTGAGAATTGCATTCAAGTGGAACCGGCCAAAACTGACGAAATGGTTATGGATAGCTCTAAACTTTTGAACCATGGAAAATAAACTATAAAGATTGAAGGAAAATGTTTTATTACAGTCACGATAAGATTAAGAATTTATAAAGAATAGAATTAATTGATATCAAGCTTTCATAGCTCAGTTGGTTAGAGCACCCGTTTAGTAAGCGGGAGGTCTTGAGTTCGTCTCTCAATGAAAGCAACTCGCACTGTCTTTTTTATGATCTACTTGTCAGGTACCTGGCAGCTATGTCAATATGAATCCTTCACATTTCAAGCAATTTTTTTTTCTATTTCAGAATGAAATGTAATGTACCTGGCAGCTTTCAGAATGAAATTATATCACGATATAATTTGGAGTACTATAAAATTGGTAAATAATTTTAAATTGTAAATTTTAGAATGACGCTGAAGTATGCATATAATTAATTTTAAACTATTATATATAAAAAGAAATAAATAATAAAATTTGATTTAGATATTTTAAAATTTGTAGTTCACCAATTTAATCTATCCTTTCGATCATTGTAGCCCCATAGTCCATAGAGGCATAAACTATATACTAGTTACGAAGAAAAGCAACGGACACTCGAATTCAGTCAAGCATAAATACTATAATAAATAATACACAACACGGTTAAATCCAGAATCTTATACAAATATGATCGATCACCTATAATCACAAAACATCTCGCTACTTGCCGATATTCCAATTAAATCCGAGAAAAAAGGGCATATTCTCCTCAATCATCCCATGATAAAAGCAAAGCAGTCAATAAAACCTACAAAACCGAACTAATCTGCATGCTCTTAGACCCAATGACTGCTTTCTTAGCCTCTTTAACCACTTGTCCACTTACGTAGTGTTTTCGGCACACGGGCATGTACACGTCAGCCCCACCAATAACTTCCGTTTTCATCTCGTCCGTCTTTCTCAAAGTAAAGAAAGCACGTTTACCACATACTTCACATTTCGCATTTAACTTAGTAACAGAATCAGCAATAGGGATTAAGTCGAGTACCGAACCAAAGCTCCTCCTGCATAAATCGGCAATATAAGATGTTTACAATGAAAACAACTCAAAAACTGAATTTGAGTCAAAAAAAACAGAATATACTTTAAAGAGCTTATTAGCTGTTGAATATCTTATTAACATTATTTACATGAGTTTATAAGCAGCATACAGTCCAACACCTACTAATACAGTTGANCACAATCAAACACCATCTAATCCAAGTGAAACAATATCAAGCAAGAACTTAAAAAAACAAAGAAAAACGAAAGTGAAATGGTACCTCAAATAATCACCGTCCAAACCAGCAACTATTACAGTCTTGCCATCACGATCAGAAGCTTTGCAGCAGAAATCATGCAAATCTCCGAAAAACTGAGCTTCATCAATACCAATCACTTGTAGCTGTCATAAAGCCGGAAGAAAATATAAGCACATACATCAACGAACAAATAAACGAATCACAGTCGAGATCAATACCTTAGCATACTCTTCAGCACCCAGCAGTTCTTGGAATGACGACAAATCTGCTAATGGTAGGCAGGGAAGCTTTTCCCCATCGTGCGTCACAATAGAGTCCAAACCGTACCTAGCATCCTTGTTCGATTTAATTATTGCCACATTTCTGCAAAATCATAAGTTGTTATTGATCGATTTTAAAAATTCAAAGCAAAGAAAACAATGAAGTTTTCAACTTCCAGATAAAGGGAGAGAGAGGACGAAAGTCCCTTCAAGCCAAATCAAACATGCTTGTCAAAGCTGGCAAATTTGAAATACAAGCCAACAATCTGAACTCAAGGCTTTAAGTGATAACCGGCATATAGCTCATAGAAACAATCACAAACTACTTAATTTGTATCCAAGCTAACGATCATTCAACATTTATCAAAAAAGAAGCATCTGGTTGTCTAGAAATGATCAAACATGTGCCATTAACAGAAACACCTCACTGCAGCTTCATAACTGCTTGCAAACAAGAGTTCATCTGCATGTTATAATAGATAAAATAGTGTCAAGATTGCTGAGTTACATAATACAATGGTGGGTGGAACCACTACATAGAACAAAGTCCGGAGCATCGTCAGCATCTTTCACTGCAAGAATGTAGGATGAATCAAAATCCCCTGATTTTACAAACAAGAAAAAAAAAAAAGCTTTATCTTATACTCATTGGGAAAAATTACGGTAGCCAACATTTGACAGTGAATTCTTCTGCCAGTTTTGTAATGCATTCTTAAAACGTTTCTGGCAAGAGTAGTAAACAGGTCTAATAAAGTTCTTGCACACCAGTGCAGCACAATATTGCAACAGCTTCTTTAATTCTCCCTATGAAACAAGATCCTATAACGTTTGGTCCATATCCAGATGGCAGGAGTTCTTCACGGGGTAGCCCTGGAATCTGGGGAAGTCTCGATCCATAGAATATAAAACTCATAACAACATCCAACTCTTGCAGCCAAGGAAATAGATATCCAACTTATCAATAGCCCAAATGCAAATTAAAGATAGCATGTCCATGTGCAAACTTTACTTCTAGCACTCTCAAGATCCAACAGCAATCAAAATCGATATCTTTGTGCGGAAGCAATTTATATTCTACAACAGCCTTCTCAACATGGGCAGAATGATTATAATAATAGAATTATCACACTTGACTAATCAAGACATTTCATAAAAAATGCTGCATTAACAGTCACACTAACGAACAAGCAAACAAAAAAAAATAAATAAATAAAGGGGAAAAGGAAAAGAAAAATAGAATGTTCAATACAGCAATCCATCTAACCTGCCATTACTGCTCTCAGCCTTCATTCTCTTCAGAAGAGCGGTTGTCTTCCCGGCGAACATGGGTCCCACAATGACGTGAATCTCGCCGGAGGCCACGTCCTCGGTGCACAAGCCACGGCTCTGGCCCAAAATAGGTGGATTTGAGCGATTAGCGACAGAATTAATCACAGCCGCAGCAGAGAGATAATTAGGTTTCTTTAAGGATTTAAGCTTCCGGGTTGCTGGGAGAACTATGGAGCTCTGCGAGTGCAAGTGGAGGCAAAAAGGTACTGCAGCGGTTGTAGTGGAGAGAGATGAGCTGAGATTGAGAAGTGATTTCATTCTTGATAATATTAACATTTTTTATATGAGAAAATTGACTCTTGCTGTTTACAAAATGCTCTTCTTACAGAGTGATACATTGTCGTTGAGTGTTGGGAACATATTGAAGTGTGCTGTAGGTTAGGGTTTTGGGTTTTAATCAGAATGGAGGGTTTTGGGGGGTTTTTTATTTGGAGGGAAATCTTGAGTCCAAAGTATTTAGAGAGTTAGTTGAGGGGTGCAAGAAAGAAAATCGGGATTTTTTTTTTCTTTTATTTTTTTACAACCACAAACATAGGAACTTAAAAAATCTCAAAAATCAAATACAACTAGTATTCGACATGTGCATTTGCACAGATATAAATAAATTATGTGAGTCTGTACATATAATGATTAATTATTTTTCTTTCACTTTTTTGCAGACCAAATTTACAATTAAAAAAGTTGGAATATTTTTTTTTTTAAATTGCGTTTATCTGATTGGATGTAATGTATATTTTGGTACGTCTTTTATTTGTGAATTATTTATTATTTATTTAGGAATTTCAAATATATTTTTATTTTAAAAAAAAATATGTAACAACAATAATAACATCTAATCACATTATACGGTCAACACATTATATGGTCAATTGTCATTAATCAAAAGTTTAAAATGATTTGTAATTTTGAAGTGATGAGTATTAATTATTTAATTATTAAATGAAAGATTAAATACATCAAAATGTAACGGTTTTTGGAGGAAAAATTGTTAAATTGCCACATAGGTAAAATTAAATAGGTTTTATTAAATTTTATTATCTAGTAATTATATATATGTATATATATATATATATGTTTTAATATGCGAGCACCCAACTAGGTACAAACACCACCTAGCTACTCCAACACTGAGCAATTAACAGCAGGAAATAAGCGATTCCCTTCAATAGTCATTTTAGCTAACAAATCACAACTAGCAAGACTACTACAATCCAAAGAAAAAAAATACAACAATCAAACATTGACAACAAAGAATAAATGTCCTCGACTACAATTCTAGAAACTCACCATAAAGCTTTTTGCTAACAAGATTGTCCACAATTCTTTTGTCATCCACACTAAAACAAACATCCTTCCAACTTCTATGCACTGCATCCTCCATTGCCCACCTTAAAGTTACAAAAGTAGCCTCCACTGAACTCTTAAATAAGTCCCTAGATACAACTCTCTCTTGCAGCTTCTCAGCACCTCTATAAGCAACCAACTCAGCCCCACCAATCTAGCAAAACCAGTGTGAGAGCTCATGGTCACCATCTCCACCCTCTGTGAACACCACTGTCTTGAACCTATGCGCGTGGGAACCCAGCAAACCTTACAATGCTATAAAGAGCTTCAGTCTCCGATACGTGTCACCGATTGGTACGGTAGTTGGTAAGCCAACGGCTGGGTCTTGGCAAAGGCCCATAGTCAAAGAGGCTTATACCATTGGCTAGAGTTTTTGGCTGCTAAAAACTCTAGCCAATCCCCCTTAGCACACTCCACTGTCTTATCCTCCCTAACCCATTTTTTCTAAAAAAAACCTAATAATTTTTAGTTTTTCAAAGCAACCAAAGAAGATAGGTTGAAAGACTTATCCTATCTTTGAGGCATTTATCATCATCGAATCCAACCACCACTCTCTAAAACCTATTCCCTCCTTATCCAGCTTAGATCAACTCACCCCAACTAGTTTCTAGCAATTTAATGCCTTCTGGCATCTAAAAATTATGTGGTCTAAGTACTCATCCCCCTCCCCACAAACCTCACACCAAACATCCTCTTGTCCCCTCTCCTTCTCAACTGCAGGTTAGTGCCAACAAATGCATACCAACTCCTACAGAGGAAGTTTTTTATCTTGCTTAGGATGGGCAGCTTCCAAGTGAATTGCTATATCCTCTAAATTTGGTTGTGGTTGTTGCTAGAACCGGCTAGATCAATATCTTTTTTTACATGTTTCAAAATAGTCACATAAGAAGACTTGACTGAGAAGACACCAAACATGTTCTCGTTCCACACAAGTTTATCTTTCAACCCTATGTGACTTCAAGGGACCCTAAGAATAGCCTGACCAGTTAAAGGGTCAAAGAATTGCAGAATCAACTCTCTATCCCAATCTTGAGTGCCTTGGTTAATAAGTTCACTAGCTAACTATGCCTAATTTACCATTATCAGTGAGAAAATGACAAGAAGGCTTGGAAGGGGGCATACTTGGGATCCTTGGAGAATCCCAGACACTTACTGCTCTGCCATCCCCTATTTGGAACTTAACACCCAACCCCAAAGACCCTAGCCAACTTTTCCAGAGCCAAGAATCCCTATTTTTAGGTTTCACAACCATGAGATTCTCATTCCTAAAGTATCTATCTTTTATGACTTTACTCATAAGCAAGTTAGGCTTAGTTAGGACTCTCCGCAGCTGCGTGACTATAAGAGCTTCATTAAAGGCCCTTAAATCTCTAAACCCCAACCCCCCTCATTTCTTAGGTGTAATTAGTTTCTCCTACTCATCCAAGTGAATTTTGTTCCGCCGACGCTCTTTTTCCCTCCACCATAACTGAGCAGATTCTCTACATATGTCATCACACACGGAGAAATGAAGTTTAAAACATGACTTAATGTAAATAGGCATAAAACCCACAACAGACTTAATGAGAACCTCCTTCTTTGCCTCACTCAAGAAAGCATTTTTCCATTTTGAGATTCTGTTATGAACTGCTTCACTCACAAACTTAAAAATTTCTCTCCTGATCCTACTAATTCTCCGAGGGAGACCTGGTATTTTGCTGTTGAGACATGATTAATACCATGAAGAATAGTTGTAATATCTGAAAAAACTCCTAAAGAAGTGTTTTTTGAGAAGAAAATAGAGGATTTTTCATGAATAACTACCTGCCTAGAAGCTGCACCATAACTCTCAAGCATATTCAGAATGAGATGAGAATGGTGAAAATCTGCTTTGCAAAAAATAATGGTAT